GGGAACTGCCAGAAGGCCCTTGGTGCTGGACCTCAGTGTCCGGGCAGAACGATGGGAGTTGAGACGCTCCTTCAGGTATACTGGACTGAGGCCATTGAAGGTTGAATGAAGGTTGTATTGGCACAATATTATACAGTGCATGTATTTGTATGAATTCAGAGATTGTTGGCCAAGTTACACTCTCCCAATGCCATTTATACAATCCCCAGGATTGCATCCAGAATGCCAGTGCTTTGGTTGGTCTGCAAGAGGAAATGCAACATTTTAGAAGGCACCATGATAGAATAAACCAGTTTACCAGTGTTTACACTGCCCCAAGTAGGAATTAAGATTGCATGCAGTTGCACAGTGGCCCAACCCCAATAAGTAAGGGGGTTGGAGGTCGTGGCACCTTCCTGTTTCATGAAACAGGATAGGCCTCTCCTGGGTGAATAATCTGTTCATTACCAATTGCAGATCTAAGAACACAGGCTGCCATTTTGGCACATATGTTCCTGGGAGTAAGTTCCATTAAACCCAATAAGGCTTATTTATGAATAGGCATGTATAGGGTTGCAGTTACATTCCCTGCAGGATTGTGCTACATGTCTGTGGAAAACTAGGATGAGGGAGGTTGTACCTATAATAGAATACTTAGCACAAAAACTCCATTTTAACAAAAGCAAAACATTCTTATCAAGCCTTTGCATTTGACTAAACTGGCATTCACAATTTAACTCTGCCACAAGGAATTTAGGAGGAAACATTTGGAGTAGCAAATTGTAGAATAATGACTTTTAGCTCTGTAAATATTTATGCCCTTAGAAACTAGCTACTCTGACAGTTTGTAATGGTTTACCATGGCAAAGTGGTTAGATATAAGCTACAAACCATTTATCTGGAAGAATCTTGTCATTTAAATAAGACTCAAGATTCTTTTCTAACACGCATGTTTTGTTGTTTAACGAACCTGGGCTGTCACTTCTGCCCATTAGTACAGCTTTCAGAGGCAGAAGACTACCACCTTTTATTAGGACAAACCAGACTTCAGTGTTTTCTATTCAGAGTCCAGATTGTTTCAAGGGGGAAAGGGAAGAAGCGCACTGGGAAAAGAATGGTTCTCTTCCTGAGGTGTAAGGGGGTGTCCTAGGCTAGGACAGGGCTGTGGCAACATTGGCTGTCCAGATGTTATTGGATAACCCATCAGCAACAGCCAGCATGGCCAATTGTCAGGAACGACGGAAATCAGAAAGCCACAGGTTTCCTAATGGTGCCTTAACAAAACAGGGTATGTGACTTTACCTTGGGATCTTTCTAGACTACAGCCAGGCTATAGCCTTCTATTTACAGCCCTTGGATCTAGGAGAATTATAATACCTGACAGTAGCAGCCTGTTCCTACCTCAGTGTGGCCCTATCTAAAATTCCCTTAGGCCCATCAACAGTAGAATAGGGAGAATGTTGCTCTTCCTCTCCCCAGTTCAGAGGCATGTGTTGTTCACACAAGTTTTCCCTGATGAGGCGTGTTGTACAACCTACCTTTGCCCAGGAATCACTTGGTGTGTGAATTGTCCTGAGAGTTAAATGATGGAGTTCAGCAAGCAGCAGCAGAAATTGGTGAGAGTGGGGTGGAAGGAGAGGGGAGAGAACACAGAGCTAGAGCAAAATACTGTAGACTAAAAAAGAGAGATCCTTTTGCCTCTAGTTTTTTTTTTTATCAGGAGGAGGGATTCACAAATGTGGTGGGAGAACAGAGAAATAGGGAAGAAATTGCATGCTTTTTCATGGTTAAATATAGTAGTGCAGATCTGAGTTAATGAAAATGCAAAAGTGGTCCTTGGAATGTTTTGGGTTGTGCACTCAGGGGCCTCTAAAGTTAACTTGAAAAATTAAAAAGATATTCAATAGAATGGATTGCTGTCATGGGATTACATTTGCAATAATGGAAAACACACATCAGTTTCTCAATATCACAATTATTATTTAGTCCCGGGTCTAACACTTTTTGTGAGGGGGGTTGCTGGCTGGCAGGGATAAAGAAAGCCCACCTTGGCTTAATCATGGATACCTGGTTAAATGTAACTGGATCAAAAAATGTGGGGCCCAATAGGATACTTTGATTCCTGCAAGACTGGCTCTCTTCAATTAAAAACAACAACAATTCTGTTTCCAGATAAGCAAAAAAAGGATGCACACACCTTACTAAGTATTCAATAAATCTCTCAACACAAAACAATTATTAACTATAACTAAAAGAGAGTAAGTGTGCATATATATTCCTTTATTGCTAAGTGATGGTTCAGTGACTTTTTTTTTAACCAACCCTTAATAAATTTTATAACTCTGGGCTTCATCTAAAGATCATTTTTAGCAACAGCTATTGCAGAGTACTAGTAACAAACAACATCCAAAACTAGAACAGAATATAAGCAACAGACCAATTGACAACTGTTTCAATTGAAGTAAGAAATCCTTGCATTGCTCTACATGCGCTGCTATGTGGTGTGGTGGTACATCAGCTGCACATTTAATTATGGTGAGCAATTACTGCAAACACAACTGGTTTGCATATGATATGTATACAACAATAAAGGTGGCTGGGATTAACAGATGTGGACATTTTTAAGAGAAGTTTGGTAGTCATTTGTGTAATTCGGCAATGTACTTATTCAGTTTCTCTTTGATTCTGCAAGCTTTACTATGCATAACATGCTTCTGCTGGTAAGTCCTCCCCTCTCACTATCACAGCCATGGAAACATTGGTAACATCTCAGGCACAAGGCCAACAGTTTTGACATTAGAAAAGGGTCCTGGAGGGAATTGAGAATGGGCACGTATTCCATTACTTCATCTCTTTGTGTGTTCTCTTTCACAAACATTGAATCCTGATCTCATTGAAGGGATTCTGGAAATCTTCAGCCTTGCAGCTAACAGGAAGTGGAATACTGTACTATACGGCTGGAGCCAACCTAGGTCATGCTAGATTGAGAAGTGTTGCTATCTGCTGGATGATAACACATCAGGTTTAGATGCCAAAAGTGAATGAACCTTACCCATCTCTGTCCCCTGATCAATCCCTCTGAAAGTTATAAAATGAGAAGTTCTATAAGAATACAGAGAATCTGATACCACAGACTAAAATCCAACACTTTATAAAAAATGCACCCCATCTGCCTCCTTGGAAAAAAATAAAAGTTACATGATCATATAATTTTCCCCCGTTAACTGGAATGAGACCAGTGTTTCCCAAACTTGGGTCGCCTGCTGTTTGGGGACTACAATTCCCTTCATCCCTGACCACTGGTCCTGCTAGCTAGGGATGATGGGATTTGTAGTCCAAAAACAGCTTGAGACTCAAATTTGGGTCTATACTCTTTCCCTTATACTTACTGCAGCATGCTTTTGTCTCACTATATCAAGCATGCTAAAGGTATCTTGAAGCAGTTACAATAAAATCATCTGAGGCTTCATATATAGATGCTTATCTAATGAAACTGTCAATGAGTCACAGCACACCAGGTAGTCCAAAATTAAAGCAGATAAGACAACACTGCTCTTGCCTGCAATTCCTCTCCATCTTGCAACTCAAAACATTTAGAACTGCCAGCTATATAGTAGGTAATTAATGCATGTCATATTTTTTGGAGCAGAAGTAAAGGTGGAGAGGAGAGGAAGTCAGGTATATTGTTCTTTTTGCGAGCCAACAATCTGTTGGAGAAATTAACAATTTTGACCACCATGATTTTTGAAACAAAGGACGACCCCTTAAGGATATGGCTGGAAACCCTAGACATCTTGAGGCTGCTTTCTATAGCATATGTGCACTAAAGGCTTGGTCCTCCAGTCCAGGTTGAAGAGTGAGAACGTATAAGCTGTTGAATAACACCACCCATTTATGCAGATCTACACTGGACATTTTTCATGGCTTGTTTTAATGGTTTGTGCTTTGAGCAATGAGCAACACTGTGTTAACTGAAGTCAACATGACAACAATTGCTAAATTCACAGGGCAACCCTGCATATGCCTACTCAGAAGTGAGTGCAGATTTACTCCCAGGTAAATGGGATTACAGTTGCAGCCCTCAAACAACCATTCCCAGAGAACCAAATGCAACCCCCATTCTTCCATGCAAATATTATTATTTTACATTAAATATATGCATGTAATTTAAGTTTACATGCCTCATTTTCTAACAGTTTCCTCAAACTTTTGTAAGTGAGCATAGGGCTTTTGTTTTGGATTAAAGTTCCAGCATGGTTCACTCTTGCACTCACAAATGTGTATTTCATCACCTCTCAAATGGAAAGGCACTGTTAGGGCAGCCTAACAGAGATTGCCTCAAGAGTCATGCCCACTTTTTTGTTTGTTTACCCCATCCGTCACAGTTCAGGGATAGGACATTGTTTCTTGGTAACATGGTTTCTGAGACATTGCCCACACTGAGAAGCACAGTCTGTATCACAAAATCCTGATGCGTTCCTACTACCCCCAACTTGGGACAATGTTATTTCCCAAATACAGCCACAGGGGAGAATTACCTGCTATAAGGAGTGTAGAGTAGCAGTTAGAACAGTCGAAGCATCCAATATGTAGCTTAATATTTCAAGTTGCTCCCTTTGCCTCTCCCAATGGCACAACATTTGAGAACCACTGCACTACTAACATGCCATGAAAACTTCTTTCCAAAGCCTTGTGGCGTATTATTGCAAACTGACATTATAGAGGCTGCAGCACCACAGGAACACCAGTTCCATCTGTAGCATACACTGCTAAGCAGTACTTGCAATGCCTTTCTTCATATAGGGCACAGAGCTCCACTTCACTTCACATCAGAAAAGGCTTTGGGTTCGGGAGGGGCTTTACTCTGGACTATTCTCAAGGCCAGATTGTTCTCAGGATTAACAGCATTTATATTCAAACCAAAAGGGAACGGTGCACTCCCAAGATAAGATCTGGCACCAGTGGTTTATAAGTGATATTTCATTGTTCGTAACATAAAATATTGATGCAGACAACGGATGTTAGTGTGTAACAGAACATGCAACATACTTTATTTTAACAAATATTAGTGTTATTCCAGATGTTTTTCTATAATACTTTTAGAGGGCCCAAAAATCATGAACTTCCCTTTTGTACTATATTAACAAATTTTATCACAGCTTCAAAAACCATTATGAATCACAGATAATCCTGACAATCCATTTAATACCAATGCTCATAAAACTTACAAAATGATCCACTATCCTTTATTAAATTTTGCATGATAGAAATAATTGATGTAAACCATAGCATACCACTCTCATAGAGGTGAGATTCAGCCGTAACAGTTTCAATCCAATAAACCATGGCTTATTGGACTGAGAACAAACGTTGTCCTGCACTCTCCCACATTTCGTTCCCTCATGCACTGTGATGCAATGCTGGGGGGGGGAGGTGTCTTAAACCAGTTTCCCACTGAATCTCTGACTGCAAACCAGGATATGAAATGAAGACTCATTGTTCTCAGTTCAATACTATGGTTTAATGGACCATGATCATTGTATCTGAATCAGGCCATAGCGTTTGTTAACTGGAAAGAGTGGATTTCCCCTTGTATAAAAGAATAATTTTTCCTGTGGACACGCAAGCATTGTGATTAACCTATAATACACGACACAGACATTTTCCTAAAGACTACTAGTGTTGATAACGATTGGTGATTGATGATTTATAAAACATTTTTTTCTGTCACAAAGCAGCTATACAGGGGATGGGAGATACTATATACCATTGTCAGTATTTCAGATATAGTACAAAATAAAATCACAAAATACAGGATTCTTTGTAGAATAAGTAACACAGCTGTAAAATGTTTCACATCAGTACTGTAGTAAGGCACCCACACTTTACAAGTAGCAAAATATATATTTTGAATCTGTGTAAACAAAGTTTACTCCAATTACTTCCACTCATTTAGAGTGGAAAAGACAAAAAAGTGATGTTTGTATAGACCAAAATTCAATCTTGGCAATCAAATGCTCTTAAAAGCTGGATAATACACATTCAAAATAAAGACATACAGAACAATCAAGAACATGACATTTGAGATGTCTGTGTTTGGATTAATTAACTTGGGAAATGCAAGGGAGTGAGTGTAGAAGTACACACAAAATCTGAATCTATTTCATTGAAGGAAGAGTATTATGCAAAACATTCATTCTACTCCCCTCAATAATAATAAATAGAAAGACAGTTGTTCTGACACATTGCAGCAAAGACATATTGTAGCCTTGATCTTGAAACATTCAATCAGTAGTTTTCGTATTTCATTCCTTGTTGAGTCTTTCAACTTCTACCTTGTCAGCTGTCCAACAACTTTTAAGAGTGTCTTATTTTCCTGCTTTAATTGCTCGTTTTCATCTTCTATATCATCTAGGTCCTTTGAGAAGGAAACATAGCAAGGGGTACAGTTATTAATTCATCAAGTCATTTCCTTAATGGCCTGGATTATAGCACATTACTATATAAGAGCAAAATGGCAGACAACAAAAGCTGATTACTAAACACAAACAAAGCAAGTTTAATATATATGAGCATTAACAGCTTTTAAATTTACATTGAGTAAAGTAAATATCCCATTACCACATAAATGGATTTTGCTATAAGCATGTACAATGTAATCTGAAATGCGGAAGTAAATCAAAATTTGCAAGATTAGTAAAATGTTTTGTGTTATATACACTGGAAAAAATTGAGCTCTCTTAACTCTGAAAAGAGAATGCCTAAATGGATGGTTGTGCTTGAAATGTATGACCAATGTTACTTACTGAACTGCTCTTTCGTAATGGAAAAATCTTCACATATTAAAAATGGTTAGCGTACTGCTTCTGTTACTTTTATGCCTGAAATCACAACAAATTTCAAAGCCAAACCAGATGGGACATCAGTCATTTGATGCCAGTGTCTGTTCCAAATTGGGACTCCCGCTGCAGTCGGAATCAGGACCCCCATACCTGCTGTTCATCTTCAGACTACAACCTGCCGCAGACACCCCAGAGGCCCAAACTGATGCAGGTTTCTAGTAGAGAAAGGGTCAACGCCCTCCTACATCTTGCCCTAGTTAAGCCCCCCATGTCTGCACAATTGCAAAGCATCTATTTCCCTCCTCACGATGTCCACTTATGCCCAGTATTTTTCTCATTAAAGACTGGGTTTATTACAGATCAAGTAATGTTTGATTAAGGAGTACTTTCTGTGACATGCAATGTCCTAGATTCCCTGCACATGACCAAACACCATGGGTGAGATCCAATGTACTATTAGTGCAAGAAGTTTGAAAGCTGACATGAAGGGAGTGGTGCACAACATCTTTTTTGAGTTTGAGGCACAATTTGAATTTGGCTAAGAGCAAGATTCCTGCTAAGTGGAATGGCACTCTTAATGGTTATCACACCACGGGTGAGAAACGACGAGATTACCACCAGCAGCACTGTGGAATGGTGCATACTCTCTCTTTGAGGTTTTTGCGTCTGGGGTAACTGGACACCAGCAGCAAATGGTTATGCGTACAATGCTGTTGTGTTACTGAGTCCATACTTCTAGACATGGGAAAAAAATTTCTGTGCCAGAATAGTTATAACTATATTTTAACTACTGTACATTATTACCAGTAGTCCAAACATTCTTTCCAAATTAGCTGCTGGGCCCGAGGATGGAAACTTAAAAATGCTTCGAGCATTTTGCCAAGTGCCATATATATGAAATGATGGGAAAGCAGATAAAGGGTAAAATTGGGAATCGTTGTGCAAGCCAGGAAGGGTGGGGGATCCTTAAGGCACTGGAGAAGAGATGAAATAAAAGCCTAGAAAACCTTGTGTTCTTTGCCAGCAATACAAAGGAGATTTCTGCATTAAGTGACATCTGCTCCAACTGTTACTTATGCACTACTGTACCTAATTTTCCAGGAAACCCCTTATTGTCTGAAACTTGCCCCAGGTAAATCCTTGCCCCTATGTTTGCATTTTAGGAATGGCCTGCTAAAATTGTGTTAATGAGAGTTGCTAGAATTGTCATTGTTCAGGGTTCTGCCCCCTGCCAAAGATGATCTTCTGCCATCTGGCAAAGACATATTTATTTATACAGGCCTTTAGGTTATACACTGACAAATAAATATGCTGTAATTGGTTTTAACTGGTTGTTTTTATTGATGTTTTTCCTATCTAAGTTTTACCCTGTATTTTATTGGTTTATTGTATCCTGGCAGCTTTGAATTTTATTTATTTTTAATGTTTTTAACTCTTGAATTGTTCTTGTTTCAATGTTTGTAGTGCTGGGCTTCTTTAAGAGGAAGGGCAGAAGAAAAATCTAATAAGTAATAAGAACAAATATGTAGAAACGTAATCTGAGTGGGTCTGGGGAGGTGGTTGAATCTTGCCTCTAATGCACTTGCGCATAACCACACATGAACATCAAGGTGTCATGGTGTATGAAGGCTATCATTCCACATGCTGGTGAAGCTTATTAGGCCATGAGTGTGGTACAAACAAGATTGTGCCACACTCATAGCCTAAATTGAAGTGTTCTTCTCGCCATGCAATTATAATAATAATAATAATAAATTTTATTTATATCCCGCCCTCCCCAGCCGAAGCCGGGCTCAGGGCGGCTAACAACACTAAAATAGTGCAACATTATAAAACATCATAAGAATTAACTAAAATCAAAATTGATGGCAACCATAAACTAAAGTATTGTAAAGATTGCCAAAGGAGGGAGTCAGGCTGTGCCCTAACCAAAGGCCTGGTGGAACAGCTCTGTCTTGCAGGCCCTGCGGAAAGATGTCAAGTCCTGCAGGGCCCTTGTCTCTTGTGACAGAGCGTTCCACCAGGTTGGAGCCGCAGCCGAAAAAGCCCTGGCTCTAGTTGAGGCCAGCCTAACCTCTCTGTGGCCTGGGACCTTCAAGATGTTTTTATTTGAGGACCGTAAGTTCCTCTGTGGGGCATACCAGGAGAGGCGGTCCCGTAGATACGAGGGTCCTAGGCCGTGTAGGGCTTTGAAGGTTAAAACCAGCACCTTAAACCTGATCCTGTACTCCACCGGGAGCCAGTGCAGCTGGTATAGCACCGGATGAATGTGATCCCGCAGTGAAGACCCCGTAAGGAGTCTCGCTGCGGCATTCTGCACCCGCTGGAGTTTCTGGGTCAGTCTCAAGGGCAGCCCCACGTAAAGCGAGTTACAATAATCCAGTCTGGAGGTGACCGTCGCGTGGATCACAGTGGCTAGGTCAGGGCGAGAGAGGTAAGGAGCCAACTGCTTAGCTTGGCGGAGATGAAAAAATGCCGCCTTTGTTATAGCTGCAATCTGCGCCTCCATGGAGAGGGAGGTATCGAAGATTACACCCAAACTCTTAACGGACGGTGCTGGCACTAATTGCACCCCCGCAAGAGATGGGAGTTGCCCCCTCAATCCCATATCGCCCCGTCCCAGCCAGAGGACCTCTGTCTTCGAAGGATTTAACTTCAACCGGCTCCCACGTAACCATCCAGCCACAGCCTCCAAGCTGGTGGCCCTGCCCATACTGTTGTATACCCTACCCACTCCCAAGCTGTGGGCATGTCTGCAGGGAAGAAGCCTGCCAAATGAACACTCGCTGTACAATCTGGATTCCAGCTCAGAACAGGTGGTGCCCATTCAACAGGTTTCACCTTTGCAGACATGCCCCAAAATGTGGTGTTGAATTGGCAGCTGCCCCATAGGCAAGGACAGGAGACACAGCCCCCCCCCAGTGATATTAATTGTGTGTGTGTGTGTGTGTGTGTGTGTGTGTGTGTGTATTATTTTTACCCCACCCATCTGGCTGGGTTCTTTAAAGAACAAATTTAAAACAAGCACCTCAACAAGGCTGTTGAAGAGTGAATGGGCACATCAGATAAAATAGTGGGTTTGGTATGAGCGGGATGTGGGTGGCGCTGTGGGTTAAACCACTGTGACACTTGGGCTTGCCGATCGAAAGGTTGGCAGTTCGAATCCCCACAATGGGGTGAGCTCCTATTGTTCGGTCCCAGCTCCTGCCAACCTAGCAGTTTGAAAGCACGCAGTGCAAGTAGATAAATAGGTATCACTCAGGAGGGAAGGTAAATGGCGTTTCTGTGCGCTGCCCTGGTTTCGCCAGAAGCAGCTTAGTCATGCTGGCCACATGACCCAGAAAAACTGTCTGCAGAAGCGGACAAACGCCAGCTCCCTTGGCCTGTAAAGTGAGATGAGCACCGCAACCCCAGAGTTGTTCACGACTGGACTTAATTGTCAGGGGTCCCTTTACCTTTACCTTGGTATGAGAATATGGTTGTTATAAGCATGTTCCTGTTTTCTCCTGTAAATTGTTGGAACATATGGAACTGGGCATTCAGCTGGAGAGTTCTTAGACGTGTTCACATCATTTTTGTAAACTGCTTTGAAGCTTCTTCTTTTTTACACTCAAGTGGTATATAAAATTTAATAAAATAAATAAAATAACTCTACCCACCACAGCTGCATGCCCCATCAACTGTAGCAGTACCCTAAAAAAAAAAAATCAGCTGTGCACATTTCTCCCTTCCATCCATACAATGGGCATCTGGATAACTTCCAGTATCTCAAGAGAGGAAAAGGTGGGGAGAAGTGAGATTTAAAGGTTAGTGGCCCATAAGAAATGAGCAAAAGCTAATTGAAAGCAAGTAAAGAATGACGTGAAATCAAATTTCAAAAACAAAGCAGTCATGTCAGGACAGCACTTTGAGGTCAGCAGCTAACTTCATCTGGGGTCGGGAACATGTGGCCTTCCAGATGTTGTTAGGCTCCAATTCCCATCAGCCCCAGCCAAAATACCCAGTGGTCAAGGATGAAGAGGGATGGCGTCCAACTACAATTGGAGGGCCACATGTTTCTCATTCCTGGGTTAAAGCATCCACTATGGTTAAAAAAAAAAATCCATTTCAGAAGTCCTATGTATTAGGAAGAAAAGGAAAGCAACTAGCTTTTCATTACAATAGACTCAGGTTTGCTTTTGTCTTGGCTAATTTGTATCAAGAGAACTGGAGCAGGGCTTTTAAGCCATTTTGTCAAATCCTGATGCAGGAAATCCATAATCAAACACATAATATCCAGACAGGTGGCACAGATACAGCGCGCAAGAAGCTCACGTAAGGACATAATAGTGTGTGTGTGTATATATAAAATACTTTCTTTCTCACACACATACATACACTTACTTTGTGGAATGTTTATGCAGCAGAAATAACATTCCAAAAATGACTTAAAGAATGAGCTACTTGGATATGGTCCAACCACAACAACTGTCTGCAACTTAAATACTCAAGGCAAGTCAAAAGGAAGGAGTCAGTCATATATGGGATTTATTTCCTATTTAATTAAGATTCCTTTTCAAAATTACATACCTAATTTAAGAATTAAATGTTTATTGTTCAAGGGAACAAGAGCACCATACACATTCCAGAGTCAAATGACAAAGTGTCCGTCAACTAGTGCTATGGTTCTCAACCAATTAGGATGGGGTAGCTTATATTTTTGGCCCAAGGGCTACACTGAGGGTTGGTCACTCCTGCAAGGGCTGCCTGCCAGTGTGCATGTGTACATGTCTTGCATGTGAACACATACACTTGAAAATCCATGGAGTATATAAACACACTTAGCAGGGAAGCAGGAACAGCCAGCAGCACACACACACACACACACACACAGAGAGAGAGAGAGAGAGAGAGAGAGAGAGAGAGAGAGCGAGAGAGCTGCCCCCCTACCATCTCTTTCTACCCCAGAGCTGCCCTGGGGAATAAAAACATAGTGTTGCTCAGCTCAGTGCTGGCTTCCTTTGGCTCAAACTGGAGTTTGCACATACTGGTGCCTTTTTTGGAGAGGGGCGACTTTCTTGAGAAAAGGAACTTTGGTTTCTGTTGAGAATGTTCTTGACAGATTGCCTCTTTTTACAATATAGTAAGCCTGCAACTTACACACTTTTAAGTTGTGTGCATTAAGCTTTATGCACTTGGCTAAATAAATAAACAAGCAAAATTTAAAAAGGGATGGAAGAGGGGCAGGTGTCAGGAAGAAAGACTTTGGCGATGCCACCCACCACTGAACTCAATGTGTTTTGACACTGTGGAATTTTGCTTTAGGTGCAATCCGCAGAAAGTACCCCCTGGTAAATTGCAAGATTACTGTACATCAGCAAGAAGCCCTTCATCTGAAACCAGCAGGAAGGTCACCTGAATAGAGAAGTATAAACCATCAACAGGAACAAGCAGTTTGGGGATGAAAAGATGCCAGGTAACTCAAAGAGATTCACTGGGAACTGTCTGGTTGACAAAAATGAGAGCCACATAATGCGGGACACAAAATGCACCACCTGAGCTCAGGAGGAAGGACAGAATAAAAATGTAAAAATAAACCAATAACCAGAAAGTGCTATTACTTAAAGGAGTAAGTCCCAGACTGGAAGATGTGTGCACTGTCCCCAAAATTCTGAGGAATTTCTCATTCAGTGGTACCTTGGTTTCAGAACAGCTTAGTTTAGGAACAACTTGGATTAAGAACGCTGCAAACCCAGAAGTAGGTGTTTTGGTTTGTGAAACTTTGCCTTGGAAGCAGAATATGTTCCGCTTCCTGCTGAGTGTGTTCCATTTGTAAATTGAGTCCCCTGCTGCTATGGGAAAGCACGTCTTGGTTTAAAAATGCTTTGGTTTAAGAATAGACTTCTGGAATGGATTAAGTTCGTAAACCAAGGTATGACTGTATTCCACAGCAAACAAGCACTTACCCTGTTTAATAAATCAATTTCCTCCTTCAGTTTCCCAATTAACTCCTCTTTGTCTTGTGTTATCCTCACAAGCCTGATGTTTTCTTGTCTCTCCTTTGCTAGCTCCTTCAAAAAATAAAATAGATAATATTTATTTTAAGAACAATGCAAAGAATAGACATACAAAGTAAATGTAATCAAGTTTAAGATTCAATGGAATTTAGGCGTTCAGCTCTAGACCCAAAATATGCTGCATGTAATAACACACCAATAGATACATATCACAGGCTTTACTTCTATTATCCAGAGTGGGCTGATTTAAATCAAGATGATGAAAATAATTAATTTCAATCAAGTTTCTAACTTTCCATTTCATTACCGTATTTTTCGGACTATTGGACGCACCGGTCCATAGGACGCACCTAAATTTGGGGGGGGGGGAAATAAAGGCAAAAAAAATTTATTCCCCCCCCGCCAGGCGCGGGGCTGGGGCGGGGAAGCCCGAGCTTCCCCCTCCCCCAGAACGGGACCCAGAGCCATGCCGAAGCTGCGCGCAGCTTTGGCATCGCTCTGGGAGCTTGCGGGGCTGGGGGAGGAGGAAGCCTTCCGCCAGCCTCCAAACCATGTCGGGAGACAGCGGGATGGCGCGCTGCGCCTCTCCCGCTGTCCCCCGAGTTTGCGGGGCTGGGCCAGCCTTCTAACCAAGTCGGGGACAGCGGGAAGGGCGCGCTGCGCCCCTGCCGCTGTCTCCCGAGTTTGCGGGGCTGGCGACGGGGAGGAGCAGGCTTCTCCCCCCGCCAGCCTTCTAGACAAGTCGGGGGACAGCGGCAAAGGCGCGCTGCGCCTCTCCCGCTGTCCCCCGAGTTTGCGGGGCTGGCGACGGGGAGGAGCAGGCTTCTCCCCCCGCCAGCCTTCTAGACAAGTCGGGGGACAGCGGCAAAGGCGCGCTGCGCCTCTCCCGCTGTCCCCCGAGTTTGCGGGGCTGGCGACGGGGAGAAGCAGGCTTCTCCCCCCGCCAGCCTTCTAGACAAGTCGGGGGACAGCGGGAAAGGCGCGCTGCGCCTCTCCCGCTGTCCCCCGAGTTTGCGGGGCTGGCGATGGGGAGGAGCAGGCTTCTCCCCCCGCCAGCCTTCTAGCCAAGTCGGGGGACAGCGGCAAAGGCGCGCTGCGCCTCTCCCGCTGTCCCCCGAGTTTGCGGGGCTGGCGACGGGGAGGAGCAGGCTTCTCCCCCCGCCAGCCTTCTAGACAAGTCGGGGGACAGCGGCAAAGGCGCGCTGCGCCTCTCCCGCTGTCCCCCGAGTTTGCGGGGCTGGCGACGGGGAGGAGCAGGCTTCTCCCCCCGCCAGCCTTCTAGCCAAGTCGGGGGACAGCGGGAAAGGCGCGCTGCGCCTCTCCCGCTGTCCCCCGAGTTTGCGGGGCTGGCGACGGGGAGGAGCAGGCTTCTCCCCCCGCCAGCCTTCTAGCCAAGTCGGGGGACAGCGGGAAAGGCGCGCTGCGCCTCTCCCGCTGTCCCCCGAGTTTGCGGGGCTGGCGACGGGGAGGAGCAGGCTTCTCCCCCCGCCAGCCTTCTAGACAAGTCGGGGGACAGCGGCAAAGGCGCGCTGCGCCTCTCCCGCTGTCCCCCGAGTTTGCGGGGCTGGCGACGGGGAGGAGCAGGCTTCTCCCCCCGCCAGCCTTCTAGCCAAGTCGGGGGACAGCGGGAAAGGCGCGCGCCTCTCCCGCTGTCCCCCGAGTTTGCGGGGCTGGCGACGGGGAGGAGCAGGCTTCTCCCCCCGCCAGCCTTCTAGACAAGTCGGGGACAGCGGCAAAGGCGCGCTGCGCCTCTCCCGCTGTCCCCCGAGTTTGCGGGGCTGGCGACGGGGAGGAGCAGGCTTCTCCCCCCACCAGCCTTCTAGACAAGTCGGGGGACAGCGGCAAAGGCGCGCTGCGCCTCTCCCGCTGTCCCCCGAGTTTGCGGGGCTGGCGACGGGGAGGAGCAGGCTTCTCCCCCCGCCAGCCTTCTAGACAAGTCGGGGGACAGCGGGAAAGGCGCGCTGCGCCTCTCCCGCTGTCCCCCGAGTTTGCGGGGCTGGCGACGGGGAGGAGCAGGCTTCTCCCCCCGCCAGCCTTCTAGCCAAGTCGGGGGACAGCGGCAAAGGCGCGCTGCGCCTCTCCCGCTGTCCCCCGAGTTTGCGGGGCTGGCGACGGGGAGGAGCAGGCTTCTCCCCCCGCCAGCCTTCTAGCCAAGTCGGGGGACAGTGGGAAAGGCGCGCTGCGCCTCTCCCGCTGTCCCCCGAGTTTGCGGGGCTGGCGACGGGGAGGAGCAGGCTTCTCCCCCCGCCAGCCTTCTAGCCAAGTCGGGGGACAGCGGGAAGGGCGCGCTGCGCCTCTCCCGCTGTCCCCCCGAGCTTGTGGGGCTGGCGGTGGGGCTCTCCTGAAGCCTGGAGGTTGTGGGGCTGGTGGGGGGGAGAAGCAGGCTTGCTTCTCCCACCCCCAGCCTCCAGATCAGGTCGGGGAATAGCGGGATGGCGGAGCGCCGCCATCCCGCTATTCCCCGACCTGATCTGGAGGTTGTGGGGCTGGGGGGGGGAGAAGCAGGCTTGCTTCTCCCACCCCCAGCCTCCAGATCAGGTCGGGGAATAGCGGGATGGCGGAGCACCGCCATCCCGCTATTTCCCGACCTGATCTGGAGGTTGTGGGGCTGGGGGGGGGGAGAAGCAGGCTTGCTTCTCCCACCCCCAGCCTCCAGATCAGGTCGGGGAATACCAGGATGGCGGAGCGCCGCCATCCCGCTATTTCCCGACCTGATCTGGAGGCTGGGGGCTGGGGGGGGGGAGAAGCAGGCTTGCTTCTCCCACCCCCAGCCTCCAGATCAGGTCGGGGAATAGCGGGATGGCGGAGCGCCGCCATCCCGCTATTTCCCGACCTGATCTGGAGGTTGTGGGGCTGGGGGGGGGAGAAGCAGGCTTGCTTCTCCCACCCCCAGCCTCCAGATCAGGTCGGGGAATACCGGGATGGCGAAGCGCCGCCATCCCGCTATTCCACGACCTGATCTGGAGGTTGTGGGGATGGTGGGGGGGGGGGAGAAGCAGGCTTGCTTCTCCCACCCCCAGCCTCCAGATCAGGTCGGGGAATAGTGGGATGGCGGCGCTTCGCCATCCCCCTATCCCCCGAGCTTGTGGGGCTGGGGGGGGGAGAAGCAGGCTTGCTTCTCCCCCCGCCAGCCTCCAGATCAGGTCGGGGAATAGCGGGGTGGCGGCTCTGCGCCTCCCCGCTGTCCCCAGCTTTTGGGTGCAGGCTGCTGCCCGCAAGCCTTGCGAGCCCGCGGGACATCCCGCCGGGCTTGCAAGACTTGGGATAGCTTCCTGAAGCCTGGAGAGCGAGAGGGGTCGGTGCGCACGGACCCCTCTCGCTCTCCAGGCTTCAGCAAAAGCCTGCATTCGCACCATAGGACGCACACACATTTCCCCTTCATTTTTGGAGGGGGAAAAATGCGTCCTATAGTGCGAAAAATACGGTACTTCCTGCAAAAGCATGCAATTGGTTGCCATAAGCATTAATGCACAGCTGTTTGTAGCCTCATAAGGCCTTTATATTATATATGGAATATAATTAATAACCGCTGGTCACATCTTTTGCACTATGTAAATTACATTTGTTTACAGGAAAAATTGTGAATGCAATTTCATTGAGAGTCTATATAGTCATAATTTGCACAACAATAAATACATGTCTCGTGACATATTTATGGCTCTTCTTAAAAAATAAATAATCCCCCCGATTCATTGTTTTATGTAGAAAATTATGCCGTGTGCGTGTTTGAGACAGAGGATCATAGTCAATATTCTGAAATTTTAAAAATCCAATTTCATTTTTTGGAAAAAGGGTCATTTGATTTTTATCCATTTTGTTTTCAAAAATACTTTATTGGGAAAGAATATACATGTTCTTTAAAATCTGAGACAAATAGTCAGTTCACTAAGCTCAACAATACTGGTGTCAGATGCACTAAATATCACGTGAACTGGCCAGTTTTATTCATACATAATATATGCCTTTATAATAATCAGGTTTGATTCTTGCAATGTATGATACATAAAGGTCCCTGGAAAGACTGCTTAGAAAATTCAACTGGCCCAGATTCAAAGTGCTGATTTTGAAGGAAATTATCTGCTTCAATATGAACCTACACAATTGTTAAGATCTTAGTTGGACGTCAATATCTAGGTGTTTCTACTTTCTGAAGTAGCTTCTATTTGGTGGCAACCGCAGCAAGGTCTTCGCAGTGTTGGTGACTTGCTTTACAGAACTCCCTGCCCACACCCACTGACTGATTACACATTTACCTTTTCGAGATCTTCAACCTTCTTTTCCAAAGAATTATTTGGTAAAATGTTTCCAGAAGAATTTGCATCCCTGCTATATCTGTTATATCCTGTTCTGTCTGCTGCTCGTGAATATCTACTAGAAACATCATCTGGTGTGTTTGTTGTGCTGTGAAAAAAACAACAACTTGTAAACATATTTGGTCCATGACCACAATAATGGTCAGTAGTGTTTAATATCGACAACAAATTATAAAACATAAATTTTTATTTCTGTAGTGAGCTTATTATTGCTGCGAAACACATATAAAACTGCACATGTATCAGAAATCATGCCTTACAGCTTTAATCCTATACGTGAACTACTCAGAAATACCACTGAATTTCATGGGGCTACTTCTCCAGTATGTGTGAACAAAACTGAAGTCTTGCTCTGCTTATTTGTTAAGGCTATTCTTCTTTGCCAGTGAAGTAATTCACAGAAGCTACTGCAAGAGAAGTTCCTGGCAGAGCGCACACAAACAATCTGATGAAGAATGAAAAATGGTAATACTCTTTCTGAAACAGTCTTAAATATAGATAATGAAGAGATTCCAAATAAAAAAGCAGAAATGTAGAAGATGCCTTAGACCAAGTCAGACTGTTTGTCCATCAAGTTCAGAACTCTCTGCTCTTTTAAGCAACTTTCCAGGGTCTCAGGCAGAGGCTTTCTCACCCATTACCTGCCACTGGATTCTTTTTAACTAGACATATCAGAAATTGAACCTTCCACATGGAAAACATGTCCTTTTATGCTGAACTTTGGTCCCTCTTATCATGTTCTGAGGGTTCTTCTGGCCTTCCCAAACGGATTTGGGGAGGGCATGTGGGGTGAATCCCATTGTGCTAGTGGGACTTGTTTTTAGCACAGTTTAGTTAAATCCAGCCATAAAAATAAACCTTATAAGATTATAATGTTGTTTCACTCATTCTTTTGTCTAACATTTATCAGTAAAATAGTCTTGTATAAAACAGAACTGTATAATGGGAGATCAACTTTCTCAGAGTCTACTCCTCCTACCAGAGTTTACTCCTGCTTACTCTTAGTTAGGCCACTTTGCCAAAATCCTGTAAACTCCACACAACTTAGGCTTCTCTTGCTCACTAAAATGATTAGAAATGTCCTTCTGATTTTGCAGACATTTTCTACCATACTTTGAAACTTGCCTACCTAAGATTCACCTCTCATGACATTCACCAGACACAGGCTACTTGCAAGTCTCTCCAAATGGCAGCTACACTGTATGGCAAGACCCTAATGTGCAACAGCCCACTGAGCAGATGCATGCTCATGACATGGTTCATAATCACTAATTGCATTTTATATTGAACATAAGAGCAACAAATTACAGAGCAATTTTTTTGGTACTACATGAGTGTACAATTTGTTCCTATCTCTTCCCTCTTTTACTGTTGCCAAGTCTTAGCTTATTAGCCAAAAATGGAAGTGGGTGAAGCACAGAAAACTGTGTTTCTGCCAGTACCTATCATTCCATTGAGTTTGTGTAGACTGACACAAAGCACCTTTCAGACCAATGACCTAGCAGCTCTCATTAACGTCACTGTGCAGAAGCCCCCTCTCTCTCTCTTTCATTCAAACTCACACATGTGCAGACAAACTTAGGGGTTGGACAGAACAAATGTTTCTCTGCATTTAGCTATAAATACAAACATTTTACAAAGTATGGCTGACCTACAAAGGAGGACCCACCTTATTCCTGTGTCCCTTTGCTTTTAATTGCTTTTAATCTCTGAACTTTAAATTGTTTTAACCTTGCCCAGGACCTACTGGTGAAGGGCAGGTAATAAAAGAAAGAAAAAGACAGATTTTTAAATATAAAAAGTAGCCCTATTTTATATTCTCAAACGGATCATTGGAAAAGGAAGAGTCACATAAGTAGTATAATACTATATTATTTAATCAACTGCTGCAAAACTGATTCGGGCAATGAGCTTATTGGATCAGTAATTTTGATGGGTTTTTTTTTGGGGGGGGAGTATAAAAGCCATGAAATATATTTAATTTATGCCGCATTTGTAGTACACCTTGGTCTCTTAAAGCTCAAGTAGAAAATGTATGTTCTCCCCTATCTTGTTCAGCTATGACTTCTTTCATCCTTGGCCATTAACTAAGCTGGCTACGGGTGATAGAAGCTGTAGTCGAACAACATCTGAGGACATATGCTTGAAGATTGCTGGATGATGTTTCCCTTACTCCTGATAGCTGGAGTGTATTATTTTTTCTGAAGCACTGGATCCATGATTTCTACTATTTCACTATTACTGAAATTGGATGGTCCATTTTTACTCAGACTTCTTAGAAAAAGTGTGTGTGTGTCCACATGCATGCATTATATGTTTCTATTGGGGGCAGGGGTAAAACACTACCTAGGAAAGAAGCAACCAGTTTATATTTTGATTAGGTGGGCTGTTATTAAAGCTTAGGGGGCATCTGTAAGTGAAGAAATGCTGACCATCAAGAGTTTATATCACTGACCAGGATGAACAGTAGATCATTAGGGTGGCTTAACTGGGAGCTACAGACCAACATTGGTGTCTGCCATTTTCTCTCCTACAGTAGGAAATGCTTGTATTCCTAAAACTCAAAAAGATCAGAGCTAGGCAACATAAATTTCAGTATTCCCAGATTGTATTCAGTGCAAATTAATCTGAACAAACATTCACTAAAGCTGGAGCTGCATGTGCATGTCATGTTCCTCAGGTTCTAAAATTCAGATTTGTCGTTTCAGGAAGCATATTTCCACTAGCTATTTTGAAGGTGGATGTCCGCTGGGCTACAGATGACCATTTCTGCCTCCCTCTGCCCACCATCACTGGGTAGCAAACCACTAGGTAGTTGGTGCACCACTGAACAACATGTCCAGTTAAAAGATTAATGCTGGACTTCCCAGGACTTTTTAACAAGATCTGGTAGACTGCAAAATTAATCAGAGTGGGGGAACCCAGTCAGATGAGCAGGGTATAAATAATAACATTATTATTATTATTAATCAAACAAACACACACCATGTGTTTTTTGCAGGTGGGGTGGGGAGTCTTACATGACCTTGAGGTATGTGAGTAGGGTGCTTGGTATTTTTTACCTGAAATCACATGTGTGTATTAAACAGAAAACTATTTTACACTAAAAGGAAATCTAGGGACAATGAGTTAACTTGGCACAATAAACTTGGTTCCATGGATGTAACAATCCAGAGAGTCCAGTATAAAAGATTCTTTCAAGCCATGATGACACAATTGTAAGGAATTTTGTAGTTTAATTCTATTACCATATTTGGCACTGCTTGATCTAGCGTGACTTTTTAAAAAATCTATCTAAAAACAGGATGTGCATGTTGCAACACAAACATAATGTTTGTAATTTTAACCCCTAAAACTTGTGTCATTCATACTGTGAAAAAGAATCCAAAAACTGTTATACAGTGTGTACTTCACACAGTCAAAGTATTCAAACACACAGTTTATCTTGCTCTTTCTCCTTGTATACCCTCCAACATTCCTCAGAAAATTGGGACATTCTATTCACCATTAGTACATTGTCCCTAGACCGGGTGGTAAGTAGAGTAAAGTGAGAGGGGAAGAGTATTTTAAAGGGATCTTTCAATTTTTTATTGTTTAAGGAAAGACTCCTTGCCTATGTGTGCAACACACACACAAACAACAAATCACAAAGGTAAACTATGGTTGACTCTCCCTATAAAATTTCTTTATTTGGTCAAGAAAAAGCAAACATGTTCAACTTTCACACACACAAAATGGACAAGGCAAAGCTCAAGAGGTCCTGACATTAGATAAGAACCTGACAGCATTTCAACAAGAAAGGGAAAAGTGCAACACTTTGTGCTTTAGCTAATTATTGAAAGGAACACTTCAGTTGTATGTACGCTACTGCTAGCCTAGTAGGACAGTTAGGAGTATACAGACAAAATAAATAGTAAATTCAATACAAACTTGCAAAGCTGAAAACTAGGACTGGTAACTTGATACTACTACTAATCAATATCTGTGAATTCTCAAGACGCAGACTAGATCTTCCCCAATAACATGGGTAGGCTTGCTACCTGCATCAAGACCCAGGACCCTGCATTTATTAAGGGGTATGAGGCAACCAATGGCCACTGGCTGGCCATTGACATTCTTCCTGTTGCTAATAATAGAAAGACCACTGTCTTATGAGATATTATGGGATTTCTATTGCTTTCTATTGAAAGCAAGGACAAGACTGGATCTGCTGTTAGTGACTGATCTATGATTTGAAAGATAATGGTAAAAACCTTTATACAAAAGCTATATAAAACTTCAAGAGTTGGACATGTAGGTAATATGTAGTCAATAGAACAACCCAGAGATCCCTTAAACAATTTAAGGAATTTTTAAAATGTATATTTCCAATTTCTGATTAGAACATAAACAAGGGTAATCCATTTATTAGCTATACAGTGGTACCTCGCAAGACGAATGCCTCGCAAGACGGAAAACTCGCTAGATGAAAGGGTTTTTTGTTTTTTGAGTTGCTTCGCAAGATGATTTTCCCTATGGGCTTGCTTCGCAAGACGGAAACGTCTTGCAAGTTTGTTTCCTTTTTCTTAAAACCGTTAATACAGTTGCGACTTGACTTCGAGGAGCAACTCATAGCACGCGGTGTGGTAGCCTTTTTTGAGGTTTTTGAAGACTTTGGTGATTTTTGAAGCTTTTCCAAAACTTTTCTGAAACCGTGCTTCGCAAGACGAAAAAATCGCAAGACGAAAAAACTCGCGGAACGAATTAATTTCGTCTTGCGAGGCACCACTGTAAATTTACCAACTTATTAGCATCAGGCTGGGGTTCATCTGCACTAGTGGCTTGGTTAGATAAAGTGGTGCCTCGCAAGACGAAATTAATTCGTTCCGCAAGTTTTTTCTTTTTGCGAGTTTTTCGTCTTGCGAAGCACGGTTTCCCATAGGAATGCATTGAAAATCAATCAATGCGTTCCTATGGAAACCGACTTCAGACCAGGTCCGGGGACAGTCTGTCCCCCGACCTCTTCTGAAGGCTGGGGGGGGGGAACAAGGGCTTTTCTTCCCACCCCCAGCATTTTAAAAAACCCCGGGACAATCTTAAAATGCTGGCGGGCGGCAGCGAAGCCTCCGCTGCCGCCCGCCAGCATTTTAAAATCGCCCCGGGACAGCGGAGGACTTCTCCGCTGTCCCGGGGCGATTTAAAAGCCCCCGGGAAGGCAGGCAGGGGGGAGCAAAGACTTTTGCCCCCCGCCGGCCTTCAGAAGAGGTCCTGGACCTCTTCTGAAGGCCGGCGGGGGGCAAAAGTCTTTGCTCCCCCCCTGCCTTCAAAAGCCGTCCGGGATAGCGGAGAAACGAAGGCTGGCGGCGGGAGGAGGTCTCTCCGCCCCGCCGCCAGCCTTCGGAGGAGGTCCGAGGACAGTGGGGAAGACGCGCTGCGCTTCCCCGCTGTCCCGGAGATTTCCCTATGGGCTTTCGTCTTGCGAAGCCCATAGGGAAATTCGTTTTGCGAAGCACCTCCAAAACGGAAAACCCTTTCGTCTAGCGGGTTTTCCGTCTTGCGAGGCGTTCGTCTTGCGGGGCACCACTGTACCTGCATATAGATAAGCTTTTTGTAGGAGCATTCCATGAGTTGAGTTTCAGTCATGGGATCTCAGAATTCAAACCATCATGTCTATGAGAAAGGATTCACTAAAGGAAAAGCTAGCATGCTATGGCTGGCAGCTGGGAAGCAGGCTGCAGGTTCAATGTGATCAGCCAGGGCTTCTTGCAGGAGGTCTGTAGCAGTTTAATTTGTATTGAGAGACAAGCTGTTCAGACTGTGGCACCAGGCCAAAGTATAGGTCTGCATGGAATTTTATTGGCAGGTCAGATAACCTGATCCTACTGAGTAAAAGGCTGCAATACACTCAGCAGGACATCAATGCAGGACAAGTGAAGTCAGCAGTTCTTTTTTACCTGCAATCTGTCCTGGACATACAGGAATGAAAGTGTATTGCAGACAAAATTCCAGTTTTAGTCACTGGGAGGCAGAAAGGACACTTATGGTTTTGGCTAACCATATTTAGCTAATATTTTAGTTTTGGAAAAACTGATTTAGTTTTTCTGTCCACACACTTGTTTTGTGGACTCAAATAATGATTTTTCTGTTTGGAATTGGCATCATTAAAATTCAAGGCTATATAGTTATTAAAATAAGAATGAAATTATTACATTTATTCCTAGAAAAAAGTTAACAAGCATACCAAGAACATGCATACCAAGAAATTCTAATCTGATTTACTGTAAATTGAGCCAGCCAATCCTGTCTGATCCATGGTAAATCCTTGAGTTATTTTAAACCCTGATAGGTACCATAATTTCTCCTTTGGCCTTTCCTATGTACATATGCTCAAATACCTCTATTTTTCACATACAGCCAAGATCTCAGGGATGAGATATAACGATGGTATACTTTATGCGGGGCATTCATTGCCTGCCATTTTGACTGTGGAAATTGGTCAGTTGCCTTGAGATCAAGGCATTCAAACTTATGTCATCTACCTCCTCTCAATCTACTGTAATTCTTGACCAAGAGGAATTCCAAGAACTGAAGGATACCTAGGAGTGGGCAATGACCAGCAACCATGGTGCAAGTTCAGACTGTTTTCCCCCACCCCCTCTTGATCTAAGTGTGTAGTATTAAACAGCAGTTTGGCACACAGGGGGAAAGTCTTTGGATTGTTCAAAGCTACACATTCCAACCTCAGCATCCAAATTAAAAAGCTTTACTGAGACCTGGTATGGAGATATAAGGGATTGTGGGGAGGCAGATTGGTAGCATAAAGAAGCAGTTTGCTCTCTGTGTAAGCTAAGCTAAACAATATTAAAGCGGAGTCTCACAAGTGAGGAGTAAGAATCACCCCTCACATTGGGTAATTACAAATTTTCACAAGGATTTATTCACTCCCTAAAGAGGGAGGCTAAGGGTGCTGATGTGGGAAGCAAATGCTCCAATCAGGTCTGGGCATATGGGTATCCAGCCAGAGTTTTGACACTCGGGACATGACTGTCCAAGACATACTTGCAGAGAAATGGTTTGACTGGTACCTTACATTCAACCAGGAAGATGGAAGTGAAAGATGAGAACTGGGAGAGATTTCTAATCAGCTCCTGGGAGACAGAACCATCTAGGAGGAACCTATATACATGGAGGGTGCTTAGAGACAGGTAAACTGCTATGTGGTGGGGAAACTAGGCCATTGTGCACATACTATGATTTAAAAAAATGTTATTAATAGTAGTAGTAATACAGGGTGATTCATAATGAAGTATAGAGTTTCCATTTACTATCACCCTGTATTATGAACATACTTTTAACAAACATACTTTTTGTAAACCACTTTACCAATCAAATGGTGTATAAATTTTAAAAAATAAATAATAAAATAAAAAAGAGAAACAAATGAACATTCTATTATACTGATGATATATGACCACTCCAAAAAGTAATGCTAAAACCAAAGTACAATGAAGATGTACTTTAACTAGGGGGAAGCATTATATTATAAATACTATCTGCATTTATGTAAGGGTTAACCCCCAAAGCAGACTGTGACACAGAAAATTTTCCTTTTTTTTTCTTTTACAGACACAGCACTTTATTGAGTGCTTTTCTCTGCACTGGTTTTCACTTTTAAAAAGCACCAGCATGCGGGGAGGGGAGGGGTACAGAGGTACTGGGAGTTGTGCTTAATCCCTTCTACCCTGGATCTGTTAACAAAACTAAATTGCCCCCTGAAGCTGCAAAGGAAATAAATGAGAACTTTTCTGACATGGGTGGGGATGTGAGGAAGACTTTAGACCAAGAACAGGGCTGATGGAGAAGTGAGTTAAAAAATATGCCCTCCCCCAGCACTTCAATATAATTCCCACATTCCCTGTGGCTGCTGTTAAGTGAAAACAACACCAGAAGAAGAAGATGGAAGGCCCACACAATATGTAGTTTGGTCCTTAAGCTCTCTAGATGCTGAAAGCGAAAATGAAGTGTTACATAACCGCGACATCTGCAACTTTCTGTAACAAATGTAACTGACAAGATGTACGAAGATTCACGCTGCAGAAGTCTGTTGCTACGACAGATAAAACCAACTCCTCTGGCAACTGATGAAAAGCCTGCTATCTGTCAAGTCATTTAAAAATGCCGATCGCGAAACAACTGTAACAATAAATACTGCCTGTTACATTCTTTTTTAAGCCTAGCTGACACCTCTAGCAGATTTCTTGAGGCACAATTTAGGCTTTGGGGGAGATAAAGTTCACAACATAGACCCATACACATTTTCTCATACTGTTCAACCATCCCAAATTGAGCAGGATATCCCCACAATACACAAGCCATCCTGTCTTCTGATTGGATCCAGAATGCCCCATTTTTTTGTTCTGGAGCTCTGCTGTGAGTCAGCTGCCTCACGCCAGACCAAAAGATGCTTGGTTTTTCGTTACCTAGCTCCCAGAAGAGCTCAATGTTGATTAGCAGGATGCTGGAGGGTATGTTTTCCCTACCCCATCTTTCAACTCTTAGCTAATTCCCTGGTTCTCCAGTAAGTTCAGAAGCAATAAGACCTCCATCAGCAGTTGATTTTTGTTTTGCTCTGTACTTAGGTATTTAAGTGTGGGCACTTTCTTTTGTAATACTGAATTTATTCAATGTTTATTAAATTGCATATTTTTTCTCCTGTTTGTATTTATTGATATGTTTTGTAAGTAGACTTCTCTCCTCCACCCAAATGCTTTGTATTTTGGTAAGTGTGTGTTCAATATAAGCTGTTTTGGGCACAGTTCACTGTGGTAAGGTGACATATAAATAAATGCAATCAATAAATATTTGACTTTAAAATATACTGGTAAGTCCCTTACCTTTTGTATCTGTTTGAAATTGTCCTAGAGGTGTCCTATGAAAACGAAAACAAACCAATTAGAGTCAAATTTAATATACAAAATGGCTGATTTAAAGCATTACTTGTTCATAATAATGGGCAAATCAAATCAAAATACAGGACAGTCAAACCCAAAGTTATACAAGCATTTCTGGTGTGCTCAGAAATACCATTCGCTGATCAGTGAGTTTAGTAGGACTAGTAATTATGTATAAAAGCACTCATGCAAGGCAAGGACAGACTGCACACACAAGCACACAGCTCAATGTTATGGCTTAACAAAACACACTTTATGGCTTAGCATTGCATGCAAATGTGGCCAGTGACAAATGATAAAGCACCATCACATTTAAATTCAAGATACAGCTATGCCTTCACCTTGAGCTTAGCTTTGGCTTTACCCAAATTGAAACTGTGTCTCAGAACAGAAGCTTCCAAGTGGTTCCTTAATGAGAAATGGCTTCTGGATTTTAAAAGCCAGCACTGAGTTAAGTTGGTATATGTTTTAAAATTTATATCCCACCTTTCTTTTGAACTGAAAAAAGGAAGGTTATGAACACTACAAATGTGCGGGGCTGAGAGTAAGAATAAATGCATAAAAGGTAAAACAACAAAATTATACTTAAAACACTAAAAAGCACTTTTAAAAGATCCGTAAGCAGCTTGTGGCAGTGGGGGAGGCGGAAGGATATTCTAGTAGCAACCTTCACAGAACTAGCATGTTCACCACCAGAGAAAAGGAGAGCACACAGAATTAGGGACTAGAAAAAAGACATTGTGGTGAAGGCTAGAATTAATGTATAATTCTCTTTGTAATGGCAGAATGCATTTCAGCCGACTCAAACTTAAAACAACAGGACCATGACTTTGGCCCTAAAAGAAGAATAGAAGTCTTAGGTCTGTTCTCATTTCACAAATTGCAAAACCATTTTTTTTTGGGGGGGAGACATGTATTTAATAACACAGACCACCATGCCCACCCAATTTAAGTCTCGCTAATTCCACAGCACGAGATCATGCAGTGTACCCAATTGTTAGCCACTATAGCTAAGATACAATGTAAGATTTCTGTTGGTTAATCACACACGCATTTCATGCTTGCAACATTCCCCCAAACATCCTTTACTCGTGGGGTCTTTTTGACTAGTTATAACAAAAAAAAAACCTACACATAAAATCATGGGAAACTTCCCCCTCTTTTGTAATTTGCTGCAGCTAGTTTGGAAGGAACTTTTGGCAATTAGCATGCCACTACAAAGCTCTAGGGAAACTAGTGTCAGGAAGGCTTTCAGTGCTGTTTACTAACAGGAACTCATACTAATACATCAAACCTCTGTATTCCCACACAATTAAATAGTCACTAGAGGCTTAGAGATATGACATAGTTATACATATTGCCTTTCACATTGCTGGAATAAATAGTATTTCTCTTGAATGTTTTATTACTGGCAGCATACAGCAGCTCATTCTTTTGCTTGCTCACTCACTCACTTGGATTTTAAATGAAGATTTAGGATAAATTTAATCTTTTTATTATTATTTTAACAGAATTCTGAAGGTGGAGCAATGGGACTAAACTGAAAGTTAAGTGGACAGGACAGATTGAATTTTGTAACATTTTCCTTTTGAGAAGGTCTGTTATTATTCTATAAATTTCTATCCCACACTTCCTCCCAAAGAAACCCAGGCTTGTAAACACCAAAATAGTAAAACAGTAAAAACAAAAGCAAAAATAGAAACAGATTTAAAACACTTATAAACAATTACAAGCCCCTGAAAGCACTTAGAAACAGTCAGAAATCATTCAAGTATGGCAGAAACATTGGGCAGGATTCACCTAATGAATCCTGTCAGTGCAAGCCCTATGTACTTGCTTTCACCCCCCCTTTCCTTCCCCCACACCTGCAGGTGGAGAGAACCTACAGAACAGGACATGGGGGAGGAGAGGCAGGGTCATCCTATCTGTTAAACTGCAATGTGACACTGGATTCGTCAGTATCTTTCAGCCATCAAATGTATGAGTAAACAGGAATGTTTTCAAGCTTTTTGTCCTGAAAAGTTTGTGCTTAGGGAGACAGACACACCTCCCCAGGGAGGGCATTCCACAAACAGGGAACTACAACTGAGAATGCCCTATCAAGATTCACCCTGCACCATCAACAGGGCCTCCCCCACCTATCAGTCACTAGAGGAAATACTGAGCTAGAGGGATCATAATAAGAACACAAGAACAGAGGGAAAGTCCTGTTTCACAAGGCCAAAAGTCAATCTAGCCCAGGCATAGGCAAACTTGGCGCTCCAGGTGTTTTTGGACTACAACTCCCATGATCCATCGCTAACAGGACCAGCGGTCAGGGATGATGGGATTTGTAGTCCCAAAACATCTGGAGGGCTGAGTTTGCCTATGCCTGATCTAGCCCAATATCCTATTCACAGTGGCCAACTGGAGACACCAGCAAGCAGGACGTCTTCTTACTTGTGATTCCCAACAACTGTTACTCAGAGGCATTCTGCCTCTGACGGTGGAGCAAGAACACCTTTAAATTGCTCAAGAAGTCTTTCCTTGTAAGCTCATTAAAGATTCTTGCAGCAGTCTTACCCAAACTTTAACAATTGTCTAAAAGGGATTAGTGCTGAAAAGATGAAGTCATTTTAATCTACAGGCAAAATGACAACTTTGAAATGAAAATTACTTATTTCTGGAAGCAAGACCAAAATTAGGCTGGTGACACTGGAGGTGCTCCAGGATCTGTTTGCCATCCTTTATCAAAAGAAAAATACTAGTGTATTGTCTCAGCTGTTCAGGGGCAAGCTAGCTCCATTTTATATTTATTTAAAAAAATTAAATTTTGGGGAACATGACTTGATGTTTATTATTAATTATCTACCAGACACAGAAGGGCAGGGATGGAAAAAAGAAGTATTTTAGTGCTGCTTTTTGGCTGTTTCATTTATTGTATAGTTGGTTAGCTTGGTTGGTTTTTCCTGTTTCATCGCTGTAGGCCTGTTTGCTTGTTTTCCTTTACTTATAAGTCACCCTGAGGGCTCTATGGAGCCATGTAGCAGAGCACAAATAGGAATAAATTAATTTAAAGGCTAAAGACACTGCAAGGGTGTGTTTCACAAAAAACGCTGCCACCTCTTCAACTATTTGTCTACAGACCATTCTGAAATTGACAGCAGACTTCAAAGTGGTAGTTCTCTAACCTGCCTGCTGCTTTCCAGATCTTGAAGACAGCATATAGAATCTTTTGCAAACTCCAAATACATAAAAGTCCTCCCAAGGATGGACATTTATGTTAATGATTCATTGTGGATAGGAGGGAGTCAACATGCCACCATACCAGGGTTTTGTTGTTTCAGACCAATAATTTTCAGACTGAAATGTTATTTGAAAGTCAGTGCTGATGACTAAGGTTCGTTCCAGTATTCAAACTGACTCCCTGAATAAAGGAGGCATCCAGAATCTACTCTAGCAACTATGATAGTGATAGAAATGCACAACTGCAAACACACAAACATCACTGCTGCCCCCCTTCTGTGTTTCATTGTGGTGCTACTGGCTGGCAGAGCTACCACCCACAGGAAATGATTTAGGAATGCAGTTAGCACAACCATACGCCTGTTTTTAAAATGCCATTATGCTAATGTCAACAAGAGAGCCCCAAATGGAAAATGGCTATAGATGTATGACATCTGAAAGTCTAATCAATTCTTTTTTCAAAAAGCACTAAAAACATTGAAAGAATTGCAGAGTAGACAGCAATGCAATTTCAAGTATCCAAATAAAATGCTTTATGTATGGTATTTTGAAAGGTGGGCAAATTAACTGTTTTTAAAATGCAGACTTTCTGCTTTTGTCTTAATAAACTAATTACTTTTGTGCAGATAATGAATTGGAAATCGGATGGAAATTTCCGACTCTTCCTTTCCTTGCAGTTATCCATAGCACTGAATACCTGTGGATAGTTGAGGGGGCCCTCCTAACAATTGACATAGGGAACTGACAAATCGGTGAGCCTCACCTAATTTCAGGCATTCTCCTGACAGTAGGAGCTGTCGCAGTGGAATTTGCTGCCAGGAGTGTGGTGAGTCTCCTCTTTGGAGTGTCTTTCAGCAGAGGCTTGACACCAATATGTCAGGGTGCTCTGATGGTGTTTTCCGCTTGGCAGGGGGTTGGACTCCGGATGGCCCTTGTGTCTCTTCCAACATTGTTCTGTTTGTCCCGGCAGCCTATCCAAATGTCACAGGTATCGTGGCTGCAGAGGACTGTACATTTCTTTCCAATTAAATGTCACTGGAATCCTAGAATTGTAGAGTTTGGAAGGGACCTCAAGGGTCATCTAGTCCAACCCCCTGCAATGCAGAAGTCTCAACTTAAGTATCCATGGAACCAAGAAACAATTTATTACCTGGGATGCTGAAAGAAGTGTGAGATCAATTCTGTTTTAAGGAAACATTTTCACCTTCCTTATGTTGAAAGACCATATCACTGCATATTGCAGCAGATACCCTACCTCAAGAAACAAAACAACCACTTAACTTTCAGCCCCATCTTTTAAAATTTGCCCTTGCCAGTTAGCATGAGGACTGATGTATTGAATACTTGCCCTTGCCAATTAAAACTTCCAATTGTAATAATACATATCCTTATTGGCCCGACAGTCAAACAATGTAATGGTGACAATGCCTATCATATAGACAAGGGTTTTTTAACCTTTGGGGGCCTCTTGTGGGCACCACAAACCCACACTGAAACTAAGTGCACACCACAACCTATACTACTGCCTGCATTCAAGCCTAATTTCAGTGGTGGGTGGCAGAGCAGACCTCGTGGGTACCAGGGAAGGCCCCTGTGGGCAGATCTACATTGCTGACGCTTGGTATAGATGTTTAGTCAGAAGAACCAGTGTGTGTTCACAATAAGCATTAAACTGAACATTAAAATAAAGTTAGGTACTGGAAGTTACTTACTTCACAAAGCTGAGGTACCAAGTTTGGCAAACACATTTACCCAACTCTTACAGAGGCAGAAGTAGTGGTGTGCTGAATCTCTTGAAGTTCAAAGAAAACAGTGTTGAAACTCCTCACCTGTAATATGTATGAGGCACTTGGGTCTGCACTGGCTGATTCATTCTGCGCTGTGTTCTGTTGTGTGATTGCATCTTCCCTTTTACGCTCCTTTTGTCCTGCTTCATCATCATCATATTCGTCCAAGCTCTACAAACAAAACACATTAATGGTTATGGTTTGGTGGTTGTGGTTGTTGTTGCTGCATGACCATTCGTAGTAGTACATACAAGGCATGAATTTGTTGGTCAAGATCAAAGGCCACTAGCCTCAATGCTTCCACAGCTGGAGGTGATGTTTCTAAATACCAGTTGCTGGAAGCTACAGGAGGGTTGAGTGCTCTTGTGCGCAAATCCTGCTTATGGGTTTCCCACAGGTATCTGATGGCCACTGTGAGAACAGGATGCTGGACTAGATAAGCCATTGGCCAGCAGGCTCTTCTTATGTTCTTCTTTGTTAAGTTAAATCAGAGAGGAACAGGAAACCTTTGACCCTTTCCAGATGTTGTTGGACTTCAAGTCCCATTTCCTCCAGTCAAACATGGCTAATGGTCTGGGGGGCTTGGGAGCTGCAGCTCAACAACATATGGAAGACCACAAGGTACCCGCTCCTGGGTTAAGTGTAAGATGCAGTGGGCTATATTACATCTGGCTAGACAGAATAATGATCAAGACTCTACATGAGGCAGCTTCATATGTTCTTCACAGGATACAAGTTATGAAACATAAAGCAATTGTTCAAGCAAAGAGACCATAGAACTTTGCTATTAGAACTCTCACATTTTTCATCAGCATTTCTTTTAAGTCTGCAAGTATAAAATGAAGCAAAACAGATGGAAAATTCAGAGGGACAGCTGAAAGCTCAGATAGATAATTTAGTCTTCATACTGAAATTTTGGCAGGGGTGTGAAGATTTGTGTAAAGAAACGATAGTGGCTTGTGGTCCAAATCTAGCCTTCAAATGGCCGGAGACTAACCTTCCCTCTGGTAAACAAAACTTCTCATGATGTGCTTCAAGATGCAGAACACCACTAGTGCTACTTAAAAGTAATTTACAAAGAAAAGGCAAAGTAAATGATTATTGGGCAAATTCTATAATTGTCAGGAGGATGGAGGAAAGAAAGAGAAGAATCATTTGGTAAGGCAGGCGCCTTCCTCACTGTGAAAAAGTTACTGCCAGACAACAGTATCCACATGTTTGAGTCACTTGCAGGACTGACTCATAATAGTACACTTTCGTAAGTAGAGATAAACAATAGGATTATTTTAATGCTTATTATCTCTCTCACACACAGTGGGTTGTATCCATCAAAGTCATCCCATTAGTACAAGGACTTACACTTGCACAATGTGACTTCCTCTCCAACTCCTCTCACTGTGCCCCTCCCAAATCTATTTTGGGTCCCCCCTCCCAACCTTCTGCAGCAGAGTTGATGGGGTATGTGGGGAGAGAAGAGGTAGAGAAACTCCCTTTGCACACATGAAAGCCTTTGGGCTAATGGAACAAGTTTATTGGATACAAAAGCATGTCTGCTTTCCCCAGCAGCTGTAGGAAAAGAGGTGAATGGGGAGGGCAATCTCAACAGAGCTATAGAAACCTCAACATAGGAGTGGAGAAATAATTTCCCTGCTGATTGCCTCACAATTTGCCTGTAAACAACTATTCCTCCCACAACATAAAGAATGAGGCACAACTGGAAGGAAGTGTGGGTTGGCAAAGGAGCAACTGTGTTCCCTCCCCCAGATAAATGGAGAGAAGAGAATGACTGGCAGGGAGCAGAAAGTGCAGGCACCAAGGCATTTTTGAAGGAACGAAAAGCAAAACTGCAACACCCTTCTCCACTCTCATTCCCTTTTAACTGCAACCTTGCACATTCACTCCACTTGCTCACATTCTAACACAGGGGTCAGCAAGGTTTACCTTGTCTGGGCCAGTTCACTCCAGTGAAGATCCCTCCGTGGGCTGGATTGTGTGCATGCGCCCGCTCACACACGCGCCCACGATTTCCGGCATCTGCGCAGACATGATTTTTGGTGTCTATGCATGCGCAGATGTGATTTCCGGCGCCATGGAAGTGAGTCCCCGTGCCGCGCTGGTTTAGCGCAGTGGGCGGGGATTCGCTGAGTGAGTGGGTTGGTTTGGGGGCGGCTTGTGGGCCAGTTAAAAGACCACCATAGGCCGCTTGTGGCCCATGAGCCTTAGGTTGCCTACCCCTGATCTAGCAAGTAATTTCACTTGAAACCTTCCAAGCACTTATGCCCACAACTGCTGGGACTTAATTCACAACCCGTCAGAGGTGCTAAAGGTAAAGGTAAAGGTACCCCTGCCCGTACGGGCCAGTCGTGTCCGACTCTAGGGTTGTGCGCCCATCTCACTTAAGAGGCCGAGGGCCAGCGCTGTCCGGAGACACTTCTGGGTCACGTGGCCAGCGTGACGAAGCTGCTCTGGCGAGCCGGCACCAGCGCAGCACACAGAGACGCCGTTTACCTTCCCGCTAGAAAGCGGTACCTATTTATCTACTTGCACTTAAGAGTGCTTTCAAACTGTTAGGTGGGCAGGAGCTGGGACCGAATGACAGGAGCTCACCCCGCCGCGGGGATTCGAACCACCGACCATGCAATCGACAAGCCCTAGGCGCTGAGGTTTTACCCACAGCGCCACCCGTCAGAGGTGCTACCCTTCCCTAACTCAACCTGGACTCAGGTCCTTGATACTATTTTCCAGTTTACACACCTCATTTCTAGGAACACTCCTTCCTCCCATCCCATATGCCAAAGTCGTTTCCATCATTCTAAGGCTTTTGGATTGCTTCCATTCCCAGAGTACCAATGGCTTAGCATGCATAACAGGCTCTAGGCTCAATTACTAGCATCTTCTGGTAGCAGGGCTAGAAAATCCTGGGCCAGATGAGAAAATGGTCAGACTACACTTAAAATTCAGAAGTGCTTCAGGGCACATCTGAAGCCAAATGAAGCCATCACTAGTCCTGGCAGGTCATAGTTTTAAGGGAGATTTTTCACCCTGTGGCCATTTTTCTTCCCCAAATGTATTTTTCAGCAAATATATTTCTAAAAAGTCGGAAAGCTTCTTAGCAAGGTCTGACTCAACAGCCTTCATCCAGAGTAAGTGCCTCCTTTGACTATGGAAAGCTGGCTTTGATTATGAAAATGAATATACAGATCTTAAAATTGCAATAAAGTATGTTGATGGAGCAAGTGGCGACAGACATGGAAAATGAGAAGCAACTTTGTTTTTTGTCCCTTTATATTAGTCAGACAACTTTGTGTACAATCTGAAGATTTAGAAAGGACGTCCCATCTAACTTCAATTTACATTATATAAACTCAAGTGAGATGAAGAGAGGTTTTTCTTTTTAAATAAGCATCTGGATTCTGTAGATTTTATGGCTTTAAATAAGGAAAATCAACGGGTATGCTGCATAACCTTCTTTAAAACAAACAGTAGTTCATTTATTTATTAAAATATTTCTATACCACCATATCATAAAATATCAGAGTGGTTTATGATGCTAAAACACAAAACACCATTATGTTGCAAGTGACTTATCTGCGATATTGCACTGCTGTCTGTAGAGCTCTGGTGTTGGTGCTAATCATACACAGTTGCAAAATTTCAGAGTAGTTTAAGAAAGTGAAAAGTATAACGTATGCATGTTTTCCAAATTTTCCAAAACTAGCTCAAGGTAACTTGAAAGAAAAACACATAACTCTTGGATTGCTGCAAACCTATTATTTTCTCTAGGTATTGTCTGGATTTCTGTGCTGTCACAGAAGCTTGATGAACAAAGAGACTTTCCAGAATTAGGAATGCAGTTCAAAATTTAGAAACAGTCTCCTGGTCTTTAAAAGCCAGATTTCTTCGCAAGAACCACTAACCACACATTAGACTTCTTAAGTAAGCAAAGATTAATACAAGGAATGTATGTTAATGCACTGGGGAAATGAAAACATTGAGACTAGACCTTAAAACTGATTATTAACACAGCATTTTAAATAATCACAGAATAAAACCCCCGAAAAGCTTCATAGGCAAGAAGTGTTCAGATTGTGAAGCCATCTGAAGATAAAGCTACGTTGGCAGAAAGCAGAAAGCAAAAGTCTGAGAAATGCAAGAGGTCTATGATTTGGGGTCACACTGAACAAACTTGCCCTTAAAAAATAAGCACACAGGAGTCAGGGGAAGAAGAAATATTGATAAAGGCAGAGCAGCAGCCATACCAAATTGTGCCAAACCGTAGAACACACCTTCTTTCGGCAAAGAAACTCACTTATAAGGTGAGTGGTAACCAGAAAGTACATATAACTCCCTGGGTGTGTTGGAGAATGTGAATGTAGGAAAAGGAAGTTAGTTTTTAAAATAAGTTAATTTTTAAAAGACATCCCAAAAAATCTCACCAAGAGAGATCATCCACAGTAAACAGAAGCAGTTTGAGCAGACTATATGAGCAGACTACACCTTTGTGGCTGCTTCTGCCCCAACCCAAATGCTTCCAATGACCTCTGTCCACACATTTCTTCGTGACAGTGTTTTAAAATAACACACTAGCAGTCAGGTGCCTTCAATGAAGAGGACTGTTTGCTAAACCACATCTCACAGTTACAGAATGATTAACAAGCTGCCTGCATTGGTATGAATTCTCATGTTCTAGCCTGTAATAACAAAGCTGTTCTAAGATCAAGGGCCATCCCCACAGATTCTACAAGACAATTATTGTTCCTTGTACACCAACACCAAGGTCACAAAAATTACAATGACACTTAAATCTGTTTCTGAGAAGTGATGACATTCTGGTCACCGGTAGCTTCAGCTATCAAGCATCCCTGGAACCTAGAGACCTAAAATGATAGGTTGGTGGGAAACACCATGCCACACACATGTTGCTCCCCAAGGCTATAATCACTGAAGAGAAGCATCATGGAGGCAGCATCCTAAAGTGGCTACTGGAAAACTAAGAAGTGCCATCCATGTTAGATCCTCTGAGTCACTTGCATATTGAGAAACCTCTAGGAGAGCTGTTCTGTTGGTTGGTGAGAGGCAGAAAATGAAGCAGTCGAGATAATTATGCTCAGTCAGCCCTGTGCACATTCTAGCATAGATGCTTTGTTCAGGAGAGCTGTAGCCCATTACTA